CTTAAAATGTGGTCTAACTACAGAGTGGCTGCATTACAGAGGGGGCACACTGTGTTTTTCTATGGTGAACTGTGCCAGCTCGTCGACAGCTGATGAATGACTCCAAATCTGGCCCCTCCCACAGATCCCAGATCATTTGTAACAAGCAGTGTAAAGGCCTCGGCACTATGACCACCTAAACAGTACTCACGAGAAACTATGCTGACCCAGTTAGAGATGATCTCTACAGTATAGCGCTATTTTTAAAAGGAGACAGGCTCTTTCTATTTATCTCGAGTACCATTAGGTAGTAATAATGTTGATATGTTTTGTATGCATATAAAATCCTTATATAGGAAAGAAATATAGCATTTCTATTTCAATCAATTTGCAGCTTTACATGAAAATATATCAAAGCAGCTGCTTTGAACCACTTGATAGCAGTAGAGCAAAACACAAAACTTCCATCATCATTTGTTTATTACATATTATTAATATATATTATACAAGACAATGAGCAAAATTATAATCCCTTTGTAGACCTAATATTTGCACCTCTTTGTGCTCCGAGTGAAGACACCATTATCGAGTTTTTGTCCAAATTCAAACTTTTCAGGACAGGACAGTGGTATGACTACAATACACGCTTTACAAGTAATACCTGGTAGCCATGCATGTATTAGTCTAATCCAGCAACCTAGGCAGAGCTAATCTGGAGGAACACTGAGCTGTTCCCAGATCTCTGCTGAGTGTCTACTCTGGGTCTACCCTGGGGCCTCCTCCCTGTAGGACATGCCCAAACCACCAAAGCTGGCTACTTTCAGTGTGGAGGAGTTGTGGCTGTACTGTGAATCCCTAATAAATGAATGAGTTCCTCACCCGTCTCTAAGGGAGAGCCCAGTCACCCTCTGAAGAATGCTCATTTCGAACACTTCCATCCATGATCTTATTTGTTCGTGGCTATAAATGAGACATAGCTCGACCAGAAAATTGACAGTTTGGCTTATATGCTCAGGTCTTTCATTACCAAAAGGAAAGCTCAAATTATGAGAGCTCATAAGAACAGCAGCTGAATGTAATGTAAAAAAGTAAGGGTTTTTTTGGGGTTTTTTGCCCTATATGGAGAACTGTTTGAAGCCAAGTGTTGTTTAAATGCCCAAACCTTTGGAATAACAGACTGACATTAGCTGTTTGTTTGTTTTTTTCATTTCAATCTGCTCTTTGTACCTGATCATTTAAACTTTTTGACCATATAAAGAAATTACATGTTGGCACTTAAGCCAGCTAGATCCTCACAGGATGCTGGCAAACAATATTTTTTTAATTTTTGAAATTTATTCTTTTAACACAATTTGGCTAGTGACTAGCTAATGTCAGCCCATTTGGTCCAATGAGTAATGTACTGTACTGTTTGTACTGTACACAAAATGTTACTAGCTGGACGACTTAAGTAATGTAGTAACTTAATATGGACCACCACCTGACTCCAGAGGAGGTCTGCCCTCCTTTGCAATCAGCTGCTTCTTCTAATAAGTTGATACTTTCAGGATCCATGCTGTGTGGCTCTGTCAGAAATCCCATTTGAGATAACACATGATGCCATTGCCCATACACCTATTGCCTCTCCATCAGTTGGTTTGGCTTATTCCACAACTGGACAGGAAGTCTGCTAATCTGTAACCCGAACCAGGGGAAGGAAGAAGTCAGGAACCAGCCTTCACTGCTTTCACCAATCGTATTCATCACCAGAGCTGGGCCGAGGCTCATTTAGAGCGGGAGCAAGGCTTAACTAAACATCTTCTCCATAAAATAAATGCTTCCAGGTTACTCCCAGTCCAGGTTCCACTGAGAGGAGCATCTGATCTCAATTACCAGGAATGCTGTAGGAAGCAGCGAGCCTCGGTTGCAGCCTGCGCCAACATCTCCATGGCAACCTGCGCAGATAGGTCCTTTTCAGGCACTTGTAAGGCGGGAAAAGATGATTTGATAATTAGTTCCTGATGCGTCTCGTTCTTCTTCATATCGATCATGTCTAGGAAACAGAATGGAACCCAAATACAGTTTGAAGCCTCGGACGTTGGTTGGTTGGTTTGTACGCTTAATGCTCGCTGAAGAGTGATCCTCAGTTTTCACTTACAAAGCATCAAGATGCTAAACTCTGAAAAACTGTGAAAAACCCTGTTCAGACAACTGTAAACAATAGGTGCGCTGATTTCCTCTAAACAATAAGTTGTTTTAAATTGTGCATTTTTTTCAGAAAGCACCACATATAGGCAGCAGAATGAGCTGTATTAAATTATTTCATATAAAATTAGTGTTTTCATTTTGGTTACAGAACAGTGCCGTTTTTGATGAACTCGGGAAGAATATAAAGCAACCGAATGCAGAGAAGACAACAAACTATATATGGAAATCTAGCATCTGCGCCATTTTTGAGGTAATCAAAACAACAGTGGAAAATAGATTCTACATGAAGTGGACTTTTTACAGCACTCATAACATTTTAAATTGAAATGGGAGATTTTAGCTAGAGCAAAGAAGGCAGAAGTTTAAATTCCTGGAGAATAATAGTTTAAACACCTTATTTTGGGCATAGTCAGCAAAAGTTTCGATTTGTGACTCTATACATTTTTATTCTCCAGTGCCCATTAATTAATTTAATAATAATAATATAATAACTGTCCAAATTGGCATACAGTCGCTACAAGTAACTAAGTTCGTGAAGGAAAACCAGCTTTGAAGACTTTAAAATGTCATCTTTTGTTGTTGTTTTGAATTATTTTGTTGCAACTTTTAGAAGTCTGATTCTCTGGTCATTTTAAAGTAGACCTTCAGGAATCTTTTTGGAAACACAAATATATCACTAGAAAACAGTAATATTCTTCTAACTTAACAAGTTAAATCAATAAGTTAGATTAATGCAATCACAATATAACAAATTAAAAAGCGACATTAATTTCACTGAGGATTTTGGAGAAAATGGATAAAGTATCTGTATGATTTTAGCAGGCATTTACAGCTACAGAGCACATGTTAGATATAAGGCTAACAAATAGCTTATATCGTTATCATTTTACAACAGATTTGATTAACTTCCTTCCGAGACACCACAATTAGAGAAGTATGCAAAGTGTAAAAGACTTAGCTGAATTCTTCAGTCTAGATCAAACTTATCTGAATAAGGACACTACAAACAGGTTAGCTCTAAAATTGCTACAGTATGCAGGGAATTATACAAAAGTGCTTTCAAAAGGCTAAAATCTCACAAAGGTTTGGCTCAAATGGCATCTCAACTGGAAGGTATCAGAGATCGGAAAATGGAAACTCAGCTGCATTTGTTTCTTTCCTTCCTTTTCCCCAGTGATTCAAACCTGGCTACACCAGTGACAGTGTTCCTATCTTTATGGTAAGACTGGTGACCTCAGCCTTACAAAAAAATAAACACAGCTCTTACTTTCTAAGGTCGCAGCCTTTTGTTTCATGCACATGAAAAAATTTGGCAGAACCCAAAAGGTTTTGACCTTCATCCAAATAAAAATGACCAGGACTGTGATTTTTGACACATTTGTTTTATAAGTGTGATTTAATTTACTCTGACTTTAAAAATAAGTTTTTGATTATAAAATGACAAAAAATGTAATATTAACGTTTATGGAATTCAGTAAAGTCAGTGAAGTCTTTCCTTTAATTATATGCAGACTACTTGTACTCATGTGCCTACTTATGGCAGTTATATTTTGTATTGTCAATACATATGTTTATCCAATAGTAGATCCTTATAATCATTTCTTACTTCTCGGACAACTAAAGTATTCACAATAATTAAAAAGAAACACAAACTTTATCTAAACACAAGGGCCAATAATAAGTTTAGGAGAAGCCCATATTCTGGTATTTTATTTTTATGTGTGATGATTAGGCAGTCTTAAAGTCTTTACTGGTAATACAAGTGAAAACAACTGAAGAATCAACTTTTTACCTGAGTAAACTACTTTATTTATGTTTGGGGCTGTACTGTACGTATGTATTAATGTATTTGGTTTTTGGTTAAAAACCTGCCTGAATAATAAACCTGCCTGTTTACCATAATATATATAAAATAAAATAAATACCTTTAAGCTCCTTAAGAGCAAACAATACCAAATAATGCACCAAATAAACCAAATAATACAAATTTATCCAGCAAAGATATGGTTCTAACTTTGTTATGAAAATGTTTGTCTTATCTTTCTAAAAGATTGTTGTGTGGGTGCAGTTTCAGCAGACGTGTACCACTGTTTCATTATGAGTTTTATGAAGCACACGCACCACTCCACAAACTACACCCCTGTGACTCCACTGTTTCCTAGTCATACTTCAGTGAGTGAAACATCCTGGGTTAGGATTAGGGTTGCTTCAGCTAACAAAGTAACTATGCACCCAAATTGAAGTTTTTAGAAAAAACAAAACAAAACAAACTATTTTGCTGTCAAATTCTAGCAGGCTATTTATCTTTTGATAGGTGCAATTAGACTACAGAACATACAACAGGATGTGCAAATAATTGTGTATGCTAATTTAAAAAAAACAATGGTGGCTTGACTACAGTTTTGCATCATAATTGTCACTGAAATGAAACGTAATGCGGTGTTAAGGTTGTATACACAGTATGCGTTGATTTTACAGAGCTAATGTCCCCTGTTAGTTCACACAATGCGGTGCTAAATAAAATTTACCAGCAGGTGGGGATATAACACCTTGAAACTTTCTCAAAGCGGTTTGGTTTCACAGCATTGATCTGAACAGTATATATATATACATATGTGTGTGTATATATACACACACATATGTATATATATAAAGGGTCTATTTCAGTTTTTGAAGTTAGAATTTCTGCCAGTCTGTGTAAGACTGTCCAATCAGAAAGCTTTGAAGCCAGTGGTACACTGTGGGTTTTCTATGAAATTCTAAATAGAGGAAGTGGAGGATGCTTTGTTACCGCCCATTTCCCGATAGTTAATTATAAAGCCAGTGAAGCTGCATCAGCATGGTCTCAATGGCACGTTATGAAGACAGCAGCCTATCTCTGTTTCTCAAACATATTAGAAAGAGCAGAATAACACTGTAATAGAACATTTAGACTCTTATTTAGCTCAGCATGAAAGGTAAGTTCTAAAATTATCTAAACTTAATGTTCGTTTTTAAAACATCAACTCAGTGTCATTATTATTATTATCTTCTGTAGCATTTAGCATCTTCATCTGGGTGTTCATCACCCTGCTGCTGTTGCTGCTGCTGGAGAGTTCATCATGTGCTGGTGACTCAAGTGTTGGTAAGCAGTTTCTTTAATTACAACATGGGACATGATGATTGATTATCCTGATGACCTTTTGATTTTCAGTAAACAATCATTTCTCCCATATCGTTTCTTGTTGTGTTAGTCTGTTCATTTTCTACATGAAGGTTAATCAAGCATATTAGCAACCACCAAACCAACTCTAATATTTGCTGATTAAACATTTAGCACATAAAGAGTCAAAGCTGGGGCCTGAGGGACCCAAAATTAGCTTTTCCATTCATTCCTCTGCAGGGCTCTGGAAAGTTCACATTGGAAAGTGCACTGATACTCCTGGTATTCCTGCCAGAAAGTAACACCTCACAAAACTTCAGCTGTTCACAAACATCTCAAGCTGCCCGTATTGTGTTCTCTCTGCCAGTGGTTTGCTTATTAAACAATATTTATGAAAGTATCTCAGCATTTCTGAGTAACATCCATTCTTCTATCATGACTTTTAATTGATGTGCTGCAGAGCACAGTTGCATGGTAACAGTCATTACCCACACATGATGGTTAGCAAATTATCTGTTTCCTTTTTCATTCATCATTCATTCAACAGCAGAAGACGATGGGTGCAGAGAGAGCTTCAGATCAGGAGGAACTATTGAGAGCTTGACAATGCTTTAAGTTCCACTGTTTAGTATGTTTCATATATGGTTGAGAAGGGTTTTGTATGCACATGTGAAATTTGGCAGGGTACTCTGCACAAAGAAAGAAAGAAAAAATGGTTTAGAAAGCCAAGATAAGGGAAGGTATTTGGGAAGGAAGTCAACAAAGGCATACAGATTTAAACTTCTTGCAACATAGTTACTATAGTCAGCAACAGTAAACAGGGAATCTCCAAATGTTCTTATCTTGAATGTGCTTCCATGCATAAGAAAAAACGAATTATTTAATAACCCATCATGAATTAGGTCAACTTTGGATCAGAGGGATGAAAAGAAGGCTTTTTCCTAAACTCACAAATGTTGACCCCTGTTGGTTTCAGACAAGGTCATTTTCTTTACACAGGACAAATTACTGACTATTCGGACATGAATTTATTGATCGTGGGGAGACCTTGCTTTTTTCCTCCAGTACACTGGGGAAAAGGGTGACATTTAGAGCGATGGCACTAACAAAACGCATTTCGCTATCATTGTGTGCACATTTAATGTTGTTGCCACTGTGTAGATTTTTACAACTCATAGCATTAGAATTTACATGGTACAACCTCCTTGTGACCTAAGGGGAAGTTCTTTGTGCTGCCAAACTCATGCGGGAGTAATGCGTTATACTTCCTGTGCAGTATTTTTGTAAATTGTTAAAGTATTTTAATAACTTTATTGTTAAAAATAGTGTAGAGCCACCTCACACTTTTTTGACAAAGTCACACTGATAAGCCTAAGTCTATCTGTTGTTCATTCAAGGGTAGACATGCTTAACTATCCACTCATTTCCAACTAATGAGGAAAAAAATGCTTCAGTGTCACATTATCTCATTGAACTTCTGCAAGCAGGAAGGGGGGGGGAGGAAGCGATATTACAGCAAGTGTTAAAGTCACAGTGAGGTTGCTGGGTTTATTCGTAGACATTATATGCTTAGAAACCATTAAGTCAAACTTTAGTTTCACAGTTCATACACGGGATGTTTTCTATGTTAAAAGCTAAATGCAAACTCTGTCCTTTATTAATTGTCCTAGGACACCCCAATTCACTGATGTTTTGTTTTTGGTTCTTTTGCTGTATGCCTCTGGTTACATTTTTGGGGAAGTGAGTTCAGCAAATGTTTAGCTTAAGGACTGTGAAAAGCTTAGTGAGACATGCATACATTAACAAGCACAAATGCAGCTGTATTTGAATTCATCCTGCACTTTCACACTGTCTGTGCCTAATTAAAATGGGCTTTTAAAATCATATTCAGTGGGTTTTCTGAAGCTATTTGAATGTAGGTGCAGATAAAGCTCAAGTCTAGTTCCGTTTCTCAGAATTAATTAACTGTAATTTAAAGACTTTTGTTTAGTGTAATAAAAAAACATCCAATATTGTAACTCCATGTCTTCTACAGACATACCTACAGTACATGTACAAAACTGCTCACTACTAAGATCTGAGACGCACCAACCCTGATATTAATTGCTGGTTTATTTGTAAGTTTCAGTGGTATTTTTACTCTACAGTGAAGTAATTACAGTAATTAGTAGCATCTTACTGTTACTTACCCTCTTAATGCACTTAATTTTCCCCATCTGTATAGAGTCATGCAAAAACTTCACAACACTGTATATGCATTTAATTGTTTGAATGTCAACCGTTGCTTCATATAGATATCCTCATGTTAATAAGCCAAGTATCCCTCACACTCTCACCCCACGAATCATTTAGCTTAGCTTTTTTATTTTTTATTTCAAGTTATTCATTGATTTTTTTTTCTTGTTTGCAGTGAATCCCTGTTGCTACTACCCTTGTCAACATGCAGGAGTGTGTGTGCGATTTGGTACAGACAGTTTCAAATGTGACTGCACTCGCACTGGCTTTTATGGAGACAACTGCACTATTCGTGAGTACAACATTTTTTTTACAAACTGAGCAAGTTGATCTGGAGTACACAGCTAACCCTTTATCTTAGTTTTGTTTAGATAATCCTATCTGTGCACAGCTATGATAGATAAGTCAAAAGGAAACACTCATGAGTAACTAGATAAAAGAGCTGATGTTTTGCATTTAGAAACCATCTTCTCAATATTTGTTTTTGGTTGAGATGAGTAGGTTTAGGTTTTGTGTGAAGGGAGGAAGTCAGAGTCACTGAAAGAAACAAAATGCAAAACCTGTTTGCTAAGCGATTCTTACTGATATTTATCAACGTTTTTAGTTGGCATGCATGTGTCACATTCGGAAACATCAATTTTCAAAATGTCAACCCCAATGCTTAGATTTTATGAAAGTTGTTTTAGAGATAGATTTTTGGCTAAACCTGCTACATGTGATGAATAAAGAAAACAAATGTTACAAAAGTTATACATATACATTTATTTGTTTCCCATTAATACAGGCATTAGTGATATATTTATAAATGGCTTACAATTGGCATTTAAAGGATGAAAAACAGTTTTGTTTTTGTTTTTTTTAATTTTTACTTTTATTTTTTTATGCGTAGCGGAGTTTTGGACCAGAATTCGACTCATGCTGAAACCCAGTCCTTCCGTGACTCACTTCATCCTTACTCACTTCCCGTGGTTTTGGAGCCTGATAAACAACTCTTTCCTACGAGACACCTTCATGAGATTAGTGTTGACAGGTAGGTGAAATAAATGTTCTTAAATGAGTTACTCAGTCAGCAGACTATAAGATGTTTAGATAATTCCTTTACCAATGAGAAGGTCCCAGAAAATCTCATGACACATAAAACTCATTCAAAATTCACGTTATAGGGATTTGACAATTTCCTATTTCCAGATAAACAGCTGCAAATAACAAAGCCTGCAAATTTAAAATTTATGTATCTAATAAAGACATTTTACCTATGACTTTGACATTTATTCCTAAAGCCAGGAGTGACCTTATTCCAAGCCCTCCCACCTACAATACCAAATATGGATACATTAACTGGGAGTCCTACTCTAATATCTCCTACTACACTCGGATCCTTCCTCCTATACCTGAAGACTGTCCTTTACCCATGGGTGCTAAAGGTGAGACCTACACAGCTAAAGAGACATAACTGTGTTTCTGTGGAAAGCTTCAAGAGTTTCTTTCTCTGCAGGTAAACCTGTTCTTCCTGATGCCAAAGTCTTAGTTGAGAGGTTTTTCAAGAGACAGAAGTTTAGGCCAGATCCTCAGGGAACCAATTTGATGTTTGCTTTTATGGCTCAACACTTCACGCACCAGTTCTTCAAGACAGACCATAAAGTTCAGGGGGGCTTCACCAAGGGTTTGGGGCATGGTGTGAGTTTCTGACATTCTACATAACAAAGATGTGTGTTGTACATCATTTCATTACACCAAATGTAAGCCTTTTTTCCTCTTTCTTTTTCTTTTACCCACACAGGTAGACGCAAGCAACATCTATGGAGAAGATCTTGTGAGACAACATCAACTTCGGCTTCATAAAGATGGAAAGCTGAAGTATCAGGTGTGTCTGACATAGCTGCATATAAACACTAAAGGGAGAACCTTATAAAAAGTTAGAGAGAAAAAAGAAAGTGCTTGAGCTTTCTTGCATACATAATTAGTATGACTAGCTAAAAGCATACACCTATCTACAAACCTGTAAACACTGTCATATACATTCATAGTTATATACTCACAGTTAAATACTTAATTTCATTTAGAAAAAAGATTTTAAAAAAACTTGAATGAAAACAAAAACCTATTTAGCTTAGTTTTTTAATTAACTTCCAATAATACTTGAACAGGAATACCATTGTTTCCATATTGTGGAACATCTCTGTGTTCATAGTTTCATCAATTTTCATGAAATCTCCAAAACCACTGGTTGAGCCCCAGACCATGAAAGAGCATCCACCATGCTTTACAGAGGGGTGTAGATACTTGTTGTATCTCTCATCTGACCTCCTCCATACATATTGGCGAAGGTTTGAACCAAAAACTTCTAATTAGCAGCAACTGCTCCATACGACCTGTTGCCACAGATATTCCGTCCAGTTCTTTGGCAGTTTGGCATAGATCAGCCTTTCCTCCCTTTAAGAATGGCTTCTTGACAGCCACACACTGAGACTAGTTCTGATGAGGCTTCAGCAAACAGTGGATAGTCCTGTATTAGGTCTTTGTTGGATTTCTTTCCTTTCTTTTTTTCCCCTAGTTTTTAAAGGACATGACTTTTATTTTTTGAGCCTGACACTTCTTCTGTTTTCCACTTGCCCAGTTTCCTCAGATTTTTAAGGATAATGACCTTCAGAAAGCATGAGGAATATAATGCTCACTTGGTGTTCTCACTAGAAAATGAAGCTTTGTCCACACATACACGTGTATTTTTTTAAAGAAAATTTCTTCACCCACATGAAAAAGCAGAAAAATTATAAGTGCCATCAAGACCATGCCACAGCAACAAGATGGCAATATAACCGAAATGTTGGCCTAACCTAAATTAGCTGAAAGCTGTCTAACATGTCAAGCTATATCTTTTTATGTCTTTAGGTCTTTCAGACATTTTTTAGATTTCTGAGTCTCGTCCTTTTTAAGGTGAAAATCTGTCAGCCTTATATGTTAGAAAATTAGACATTGGGTTTTGAGTCTTACACTTTTGAATTTAGGTGGTTAGAGTGAGCTTAACCCCTGGAGGGTCTTGGGTCGATTTGTGGCTATTTTCAAATTTTGATTACCTGCCATTTGCACAGTGTTGAATGGACTATAGCGAAAGTCTGCAAAAAAAAAGTTCGGTCACATTTACTGTTAAAATTTCAGTATGACTTCCGGAAATTAGCTTCAGTGGCTAAGCTAGCGATAAACTTACACTCGCGGATGAGATTTACACTGTCACCGTGAGAACCATGACCACCGACAGTCTTGGAAGTTAATCTGATCTAATGTACCAGACAAGCAAAAAATTTCTTCCAAATGCTGAACTTATTAACTCCAGTCAGTCATATTTATTTTTCAAGTAAAACGTTTAAAAAAGTAATACCTGTAAGTTTCAGCAATATCTTGTAAGGGTTGGTACCTAATACGGGTAACATACTACATTCAAATTTACCTCCTCATCTTTAAGAAAACTCTCCAGAGCTCTGTGTTGTATATGTTCACTGAGTCAGATATAGATTGCTTGCACTTCCTTTAGCATGTTAACTTGTGAGAACATCGTGTTGGATTTTCTAGATGCCTGTGGTAAGTGGTTAAAACAAAACTTCAATCGGTGACTATTTTTTCACTGCCACCTTATCAGCATGTCTTCAGAACAGTTTAAGAAGCCTCTTTATTTTACCCATCTTAATCTAACAGCTTGATGTTGTTGCTTTACAAATATAGTCCATCAGATTTTTGTTTTTGTTTTTTAATTTTATTTTACATGAATTCCACTAGTATATGTTAATTTCTATAATATAGTCGGTAAACATAGTAAAGAAATCACTGGAATTAACTCTTCTTCCACCCACAGCTGGTAAATGGTGAGGTGTACCCTCCTACAGTGTCTGAGGTCCCAGTGCACATGGTGTATCCTGAAAACATCCCAGCAGACAAGCGTCTGGCCATCGGTCAGGAGGTATTTGGCATCCTGCCGGGTCTAACCATGTATGCCACCATATGGCTGCGGGAACATAACAGAGTCTGTGACATCCTAAAGGCAGAACATCCCACCTGGGATGATGAGCAGCTTTTCCAGACAGCCAGACTCATCATTATTGGTGAGTAAAAGTAAATATTTAATCAGAGAATGATTGAAACACACAAAGTAAGTGAAACACAGTAAATTCAAAACACTAGTCTTTTCACTGTTTGTACATCTTTATCAGTTACTTGTCTGTGAGTTGATATCTTTTGTTTTTTTTGTTTCCTTTTTGGCTACAGCGGTAATTGGCTACAGTTTGTGACTATTGTTGAACCGCTGCTGGTAAAACAGACTGATATGAAGTTTTCTGCAGACATTCATAGCTAAATGTCCTAAATGGCTCTGCTTGAATATGATTGAATCAGTTGAATAGTATGCAATTCTGTACAGCCTGGATGAAGCACTTGAATGAAAGGTTATATTTTAGCTTGTCATTTTAGGGACTATGCAAAGTAATTATCACTTGTCTACATTAAGTCAAAATGTTAAGTCAAACCTAATTTATACCTTAAATTATGTATATAAATATTATTGTGTCATCAATTTTATCACCTGAGCAGGATTATGATTTTACTTGAGTGAAAGGGCCACACACCAAAACAGTTACTCAGCACAAAACATATTTCAGGCTCTTGGCCAGTACATTTTTCATATGATACACATATATTAAGATAAAAGGCCACATATGAGCTTGGGTGTTTTCTGATTCAATTCTGAGGCATAAATCAGAAAAATGTCCATATACTCTCAGTATACGACAAAAGGCAGGTCTAAGAGTTATTTTAATGTTTATTAAAGTCATTTGCTGTGTCCTGTTTATGGCAGTGCTTCAGCCTTAGAGCTGTGAGATTTGAAGTTTGAGGTTGTAAATTTAAAGGTTTGTGCTCTGCTTTGAGAAGGTGATGCCACCATCTTTTTCTGGCTTTGTTTGATGTGTCTGCCGATCACTGTTTTGTTGTTCAAACCACAAGAAGACGCCATTTATTCACCAACAAACCACTTATGAATTTGACACTGTTCACTGTTTCAGTGTTTCGTTAATTACTAAACATGAAGATAAATAATATTATTTTTCCACAAATCTAAGCTAATTTTTGTATTTCTCCCTCAGGTGAGATCATCAACATTATAATAGAAGAGTATGTGCAGCACCTGAGTGGCTACATGCTGGACTTGAAGTTTGACCCAGAGCTGCTCTTCAATACACGTTTCCAGTACAGCAATCGAATCGCCCTGGAGTTCTGCCACCTGTACCACTGGCACCCTCTGATGCCCGACAGCATTGTCATAGAGGGAGAAGAAATACCATACTCTCAGTTTTTATACAACACCTCCCTCCTGATGCATTACGGGGTGGAAAGGCTGGTGGATGCATTCTCTCGACAGATTGCAGGACAGGTAACAGAATTATAGAAGTCAGAAAACGGGAAACGGGTCATGTATATTTTTATCATTGCTGCTGTCAATCAGTTAACAGAAAGCAGCACCATCAGCCTTATACACTTTATCGTTTTATAAATAAAGATAAATCACAATAATCATCGGTTCTCACTGTGTTATGAAACTACAGCTACTTATGACAGATGATGCAGTGCAATACATTTTCACAAACACTGAACGTTTCATAACTCTCAATTACTTCCTAAATTGAGATTAGTGACAATGCTATCAAGTTATGTCTTTTAGCAGCATTAGATTAATGCAAAGTGGTATAGTACTTCTGTGTGTTGCAAGGCTGAGAATGTGTTGCAAGCTGTCATGGAACAGCAGAGTTTGTCACTCACTGCTCATGAAAAAACATTTTTGTGGCTTATATTCACACTTTTAGATAGGAGGAGGTCACAACTCTCATCAAGTGGTGCTTAAAGTTGCAGAAATGGTCATCAGAGAATCCAGAGCTACACGTGTGCAGCCTTTCAATGAATATAGGAAGAGGTTTAACCTGAAGCCTTACACGTCCTTTGGTGAATTAACTGGTAAGTTAAAGAAATATGAACACATGCATGCCCCCTTTGTTACTCATTACACATATGTGACACAAAATGCATGCATACAGTGGGGCAAAAAAGTATTTAGTCAGCCACCGATTGTGCAAGTTCCCCCACTTAAAATGATGACAGAGGTCAGTAATTTGCACCAGAGGTACACTTCAACTGTGAGAGACAGAATGTGAAAAAAAAATCCATGAATCCACATGGTAGGATTTGTAAAGAATTTATTCGTAAATTAGGGTGGAAAATAAGTATTTGGTCACCTCAAACAAGGAAAATCTCTGGCTCTCACAGACCTGTAACGTCTTCTGTAAGAAGCTTTTCTGTCCCCCACTCGTTACCTGTATGAATGGCACTTGTTTGAACTCATCATCTGTATAAAGGACACCTGTCCACAGCCTCAAACAGTCAGACTCCAAACTCCGCCATGGCCAAGACCAAAGAGCTTTCGAAGGACACCAGGAAAAGTATTGTAGACCTGCACCAGACTGGGAAGAGTGAATCTACAATAGGCAAGCAGCTTGGTGTGAAAAAATCAACTGTGGGAGCAATCATCAGAAAATGGAAGACATACAAGACCACTGATAATCTCCCTCGATCTGGGGCTCCACGCAAGATCTCATCCCGTGGGGTCAAAATGATCATGAGAACGGTGAGCAAAGATCCCAGAACCACACGGGGGGACCTGGTGAATGACCTGCAGAGAGCTGGGACCAAAGTAACAAAGGTCACCATCAGTAACACACTACAACGGCAGGGAATCAAATCCCGCAGTGCCAGACGTGTTCCGCTGCTGAAGCCAGTGCATGTCCAGGCCCGTCTGAAGTTTGCCAGAGAGCACATGGATGATACAGCAGAGGATTGGGAGAATGTTATGTGGTCAGATGAAACCAAAGTAGAACTTTTTGGTATAAACTCAACTCGTCGTGTTTGGAGGAAGAAGAATACTGAGTTGCATCCCAAGAACACCATACCTACTGTGAAGCATGGGGGTGGAAACATCATGCTATGGGGCTGTTTTTCTGCCAAGGGGACAGGACGACTGATCCGTGTTAAGGACAGAATGAATGGGGCCATGTATCGTGAGATTTTGAGCCAAAACCTCCTTCCATCAGTGAGAACTTTGAAGATGAAACGAGGCTGGGTCTTCCAACATGACAATGATCCAAAACACACCGCCCGGGCAACAAAGGAGTGGCTCCGTAAGAAGCATTTGAAAGTCCTGGAGTGGCCTAGCCAGTCTCCAGACCTCAACCCCATAGAAAATCTGTGGCGGGAGTTGAAAGTCCGTGTTGCTCGGCGACAGCCCCAAAACATCACTGCTCTCGAGAAGATCTGCATGGAGGAATGGGCCAAAATACCAGCTACTGTGTGTGCAAACCTGGTAAAGACCTATAGTAAACGTTTGACCTCTGTTATTGCCAACAAAGGTTATGTTACAAAGTATTGAGTTGTATTTTTCTTATTGACCAAATACTTATTTTCCACCCTAATTTACGAATAAATTCTTTACAAATCCTACCATGTGGATTCATGGATTTTTTTTTCACATTCTGTCTCTCACAGTTGAAGTGTACCTCTGGTGCAAATTACTGACCTCTGTCATCATTTTAAGTGGGGGAATTTGCACAATCGGTGGCTGACTAAATACTTTTTTGCCCCACTGTATGCATGCATTTTCGTCAACCACACAGCAGCATAGCACATATGTGTAAACAGCACTGGACTGTGCTTTTCAAGGCACTGTCTGCATTTTCACACAGCATTACTAGATATATTTATTTTTCCTGTGTTGAACATATGATCAGTAAATTCACACATCCCATATAGAATGATAATTTGATTCTATTGTGATACTTAGTAGTTGGGGTGGCTGTACTTCAGGAGGTAGAGCAGCTCATCTAATAATTAGAAGGTTGGTTGTTTGATCCCTGGCTGCTCCAGTCTCCAGTTTGCATGCCAAAGTGTCCTTGGGAAAGAAACCTGCATTCACTGAAGTGTAAATGTGGGTGTTAGATAGAAAACACTTTAGAAGAAAGTGCTTATAAAAGGATATAGTGCTCAACTAGAGTAGAAAAGTGTTATATAAGCAAATACTCACTTTTGAAACTTCTTTAATAAAACCTTTTGCAGTAGTCCCAGCTGAGTGAGAGGCAGGATACACTTTTTGACAAGAAAAATATAAATTATAAACCAAAGCAGCAGAAATATTCAGCTGATGGTGCTGGATGAAAAAATTATTTAAACTAACTTAAATGTGTGCCTGAAATTTTACAGTACAACCATTTAGTGTATGTTGAGTAATTTGAGTTGCCTCATGTAGATTGCTGGAGAATCAGTGGATCTTGAGGGTTTCGTGCTTGTATGAATGTTTATATACAATTAAATGAACGCACCAGTAGCTAATGAAATCAGTGTTTGACTAGTTTCGAACTGTTGGCATTAAGACTATGGTAAGTGTACATAAAATTGGTTCAGCAACAGAAAATCACTCTTTTTATTTTACATTTATAGTAACACAAGAATTAAATGAAACCTCTGCAGTAATTTCCTGCCATTTTTCTGTTTCCAAACAGACAACACTGAAATAGCCCGAGGTTTAGAAGAGCTCTATGGTGACATAGACGCCCTGGAGTTTTACCCAGGCATAATGCTTGAGAAAATCCGTCCTAAAGCCATTTTTGGAGAGAGCATGGTGGAGATGGGTGCTCCCTTTTCACTGAAAGGCCTGCTTGGAAACCCAATCTGCTCGCCTGAATACTGGAAGCCCAGCACCTTTGGAGGAGAAACCGGCTTTAATATCGTCAAGACAGCCACTCTGAAAAAACTGGTGTGTCTCAACAGCAAATGGTGTCCATATGTGGACTTCCATGTGCCGCGCAATGAGGACGAGGCAAAACCGAGGAAACCGTCCACTGAACTTTGAATTCCGACCTGAATTATTATCCTACTCAGGCAGAGTTTTTTGGCTTTTACTGAGAAAGGATGATTTTAATACTCAGTAGGTGTAACCCTGCCAGCAGTGAATGATGTGCCAAAAATTTAGGGAGGTCTACCTCATAGAAATAAAGATGACAAACCATCGAATCGGATCTGGTGACCCATATATTACTTGATACTCAGCACCACAGTTCCTCTAAACCTTGATTTCTTTTTTTTTTACATGCTTTAATTTGCAGGCTTTTGAATAAGATTATATTTTTTACATTTTAAAAAGAAGGAAAACGTGTGTATTTTTAAAGTGCAAAAAATAAATGTGAGAGACACCAAAGATTGATGTGTTATTTTTGATCAAAATGAGCTTTTAATCTCTGAGAAACACTGTTTCTTGTGCTCAAGAACGTAGATAGGATCAATTATGTTCACTATAATGTACTGAGACTCTCTAACCTCACCAGAGACGGCATGGAGGGGTTGGCGGAGCAGGTGGGTCCGACCTCGTTAATGGGAGTGCAGAATAGAATGGCCCTTGATATGTTGTTAGCGGAAAAAGGGGGCGTTTGTGCTATGTTCGCCGATCAGTGTTGCACCTTTATTCCAAATAATACTGCTCCAGATGGGTCGGTAACCAAGGCTCTGGAGGGCCTAAAGAGCCTTTCTGAAACTATGCATGA